CATTGGATAAAAAGAAAATGATATCCAATCTCAGTTTAGTTTAGGGCTGATTCCACATTAGATGTAAGATCAGAGGTTTTGACTAAATATAAGTTCATTTAATCCAATCATAAGGAAAACATCAGCTTTTCCCATTTCCATTTATTTCTTTAGTTAACAGTACAGTTAAATTTAAGATCATAAAGATTAATTGAATAAATCATAATTATTCAATTGAATCAAATTGTAACTTAGAGAAATGACACACTGACTCTACCTCACTAATTAAGAAAAAACTCTACAGTTATAAACTAAAACTATTTATAAAAATTCATATTTTTCTATTAAAGAATAAATTTTTTAAATACATTTATATAATTAAATGTATTTTTTACATTTTGCCAATCGTGCTTAATTTAAAATGTGCAATAAAGTTTTTTTAATTTCAAATGTTAGCCTATGTAGAAGTGTTAGATTACCAAAGTATCGAATAAAAAATGTCTAAAAGATAACCGATAGATTTATTGATTACTAAAACAATCAATAGGTGCATCCCTTGTTCTTAACCGTTTATTATTCAAAGTTTTCTTTCCAAGGAAACCCAGCTTGCATCAAGTCACTGACTTATAGATTTCCTTCCTCTTGGATGAGGATGTTTGGCTAATCGCCTGCATCGGGTTGTTGACGTGGCATCAGTCCCTCATGCTGAGCAGCGACAGCAGAAAGGAAATCCTTCAGCAGAACCAGAACCAGGCTGCATGTGATTGGCTGTTTCCCAAGACTGACTGGGGGTTTCAGAAAACAGGGCATGCACACACAAGCAGTACTGATCAGAAGCACTGAGCCAGGAGTACTTTCTATGTGGAAAAAAAACAAAGTCACAGCAGAAGCAGCTCCTGTTAAACAGCTTTGCTTCTCCCGCTAAAAGGAGTTGGCCAAGCTTTCCAAACAATGATGTAAAATCATTTTAGTTATTTTTTTTAAAAGATCTAATCATTTTGTTGTTGCTAATGATGACTTTGACAGGTTTTCTTGATCTTTTGAAGCAAAAACAGGGTGTTTGATGTCTGTTACAGGCCCAATGAGAGCAGCCTCCATGCTGCTGATAATAAATCCATAACTGCTCAGCAGCCATGCATGTCCAGTTATTATTTGAATTTTGTGGCCTTTAGGTGCCATAAAAACCAAACCAGAATATCTTTATTGCCTTCGCTTGCATGTGGTGATCAGTCTTTGCCACTTTCCTTTTTTCCCAGCCATCTTTGCCTCCTTTGATACAAAAAGAAGTCTATCGGTACGACCTGTGTTATCTAAAACCTACCAACAGAGCAGGAAGCCTTCTTTTCATTGGTAAAATTAATCTCTGATTTATTAAATAATAATTGTTATGATAGAGCAGATTGTAAAAAGGCTAATCTAGTACGTTCAGCCTCTGTTTGTCAGTTTTAATTAGTTTAAAGATGCCATCTGACCACAAACACCCTATAACAGCTGGATTGAATATGAATCATTTTCCATCTGCTTAGTTGGCAGCATGAATAATTCTCATGATGTTAAAAAAAACACCAGTTATTTAATGTAACATTGGAAACACCCAGATTAAAAATAACAAATGTTTAAAAAATCTAAACTGTGCACCAACCAGCTTTTAACTTATCAGCTGTAGTTTTTAAGCTGTATTATCAGTGGCTTCTTCTTTGTTCGACTCTCTGTATTTGATTTCCAAGCAGACGGCCATTTTGCCTGCAGGGTGCTGTAACAGGTTGGGGTGATGCTTTGTTTTATGCTGGCAGAGAAAACTCTGGTTACTTTCCCGGCTGTTCCATGAAATGGACTTTAAAGAGAAACTAAATGCCAAATCAACCTCTTTGCAGCTTACCTTAAAACTTGGGTTTTAATGGTGCTATCTAATGTTCCTAGCCTCGTGAGACCATCCTGATCTCACGAGCTTTCAAGGTTTCACTCGCAAATCAGTCAGGAGACTCTCCGTTAAAGAAAATTTGGAGCCGTTCACCAAACGAACGTCCAATCAGTGTTGGCTTTGAGGCGGGTTTAGGTGTGACGCAACGAGAAGCGCGACAGTTCAGTCTAAAGAACATGGCGGCTTCAGCCGATGAAACTAGCGTTAGCGTGGCTATCGAGCAAGTTTTATCGGAATTACAGAGTATTTCTTCACTGAAAGAAGAGCAAAACACTGCTCTGGAGGCTTTTGTCAGAGGAAAAGATGTTTTTGCTCTTCTCCCGACTGGTTTCGGCAAGAGTTTGATCTATCAATTGGCTCCTCTTCGTCGTCGCTCTGTTAGTACGTCATATGCTTCGTTGATCTGATTGGTTTATTTGGCCCGTCTATCACCAACATAGGCCAATCAGCTAACAGGTATTTTCGCCCCTTCCCAAAATTATTCAACGGAAGGTTTGCAGATGGATATGCGGAGCAAATCCATCTGGCGGAGTCAGGTTATAATGTTTCCATGCAAAGTTTGAATTTTTCATGCAAGCTTAAGGGCGACAGTGGCGTTGGATGTAGGAGTTTGCCCTGAAATCGAAGGACTGACGGTTCAAGCCCCGACTCCGACTTTCAGTGTCGTTGTGTCCTTGGGCAAGACACTTCACCTGCATTGTCTACTGATGGTGGTCAGAGGCTACAATGTAGCTTGCCACCGTGAGTGTGTGCATGAATGGGTGAGTGAATATAGTGTAAAGCGCTTTGGTCAAGTCTCATAACTTGAATAAAGGTGCTATATAAGTTCAATTCAATTCAGTTTATTTATATAGCGCCAAATTCACAACACATGTCATCTCAAGGCACTTTACAGTTCAACCAGATCATACAGTCAAATTGATACAAAGTTTTCTATCTAAGGAAAACCAGTTGATTGCATTGACTCATTGACTCAAATACAATCCCCCACACTAAGCATGCTTGTAGCGACAGTGGAGAGGAAAAACTCCCTTTTAACAGGAAGAAACCTCCAGCAGAACCAGGCTCAGTGTGAGCGGCCATCTGCCGAGGCCGACTGGGGTTCAAGGAGACAGAAGCAGAGATACAAAAAGCAGCTGTAAAAGGCGGCCCCGTCCAGGAAACACACAGCCAGGCAGACGAGCTCCAAGGCAGCTCCCATGCCAGAGGACGAAGAGAGCACATCCACTCAGTCACGGTCAGAGAAACAGGACCACACTGGAAAACCGGCCGATCTCCAACATCTATAAACAAGGGTGTTGATAGAAGCAGCACAGCTGATGTTTCTTTCCAGGATATTCGGCCTAAATCGTCCAAGTGCTGCCCTCTATGGGTGCAAGCGTGGCTACTGCAGGTGAATTCTTATGTTACACCATTAATCCACGTTTGGGATTAATGATGCGTTTAATAGTACCTTGGAACAGGCGTCTCAGAGTGACATAAACTCTGAGGTGATGGCGTTCCAGATTCCCACTGAACGCTCTTTTTCACCATAGTTTGTACAGTATGTGACCACTACAGCTATTGTTAGAAGTGAGCACTCTGAAAGGCACCATCTTACATAAACTCTCCACATAGAGTCAGGGGTTGGAAGCAAGTAATGACCGATAGCCCTTTTCAGGCAGCCACCTTATTTATTCATTTTTTTAAAATTTATTTTAAAGTGTTTTTAAAAGGTTTGAAAGAGCCAAAGATGGAGAAAAAGTTTGGGGAGCTTCCCTCCCTACAGTGTAAGTTCAAAAACCAGTCAAACGTATACTACATTATCACACCAGTATATTTATATGAATGCCAACAACAAAAAACATTATAAAAACATAATTTCATGTACAGGTTTACTTTTTGCACATAAATATTGTCCTTCTGAGGCTTTCTGAAGGTAAATCTGTGTTTTGAATTGTCCAATATTGTGTCACTAACCTAAAAAAATAATGTACCAGTTTAATAATGGAGAAGCTATTAGTCAGCTTTACATTTTTTTATATATAAAAACAATTTATTTTATAAGAATGTGTTTATTTAAGAGCAACTATGCAAATTAACAAACACCTTAAATCAGTCAATAAAAACAGTTTTTGTTTTATGTCTTAATCATGGTCATTGGGCTGGTGGGGCGGTGCCTTGGCTCCCTGTAGGGGCTAACCGTCACTGCAACTGATGGAGGTTTTTTTAACGCCGATGCCGATTATTTTGACAGCCTAAACTATTCTTGACAAATGTTGCCAGTTTTTTTTTTAAGCCAATTCTTTAGGCAGAAATCGCTTTTTCGTCTTGCAAAAAGTCTAAATTTAAACAACAACAAAGCTTTTTTTAAACAAACAGTGACAAACAGAGGGAGGGGCAGTGCATGCATGTATGGGTCAATATCGATAGAAGAAGAAAAAAAATGCTAATAGCTGGAAACACATCAGCTGGTGGATGAATGGGTTCATCTCCAGTCGTGAGGCTGCACATGTTAACCTTATACTGCATCAGCAATATGATGGAAACCTCTAGTGATTTTTAAACATGACTTTTTCACACTGTAAAACCAATGAAACCCATGCCTAATTGTTACCCTGGTTCATAGAATTATTGCCTGTTATTCAGGGATCCACTTCTTCCAAATGATGAACCTGAGCTGTTTTATATGCCTCATATACAAACATTCTAATTAAACTGTGATATAGATAAATACAATCAGTTTCTTTGTTAAATATTATAACTGATGTTAAAATGCCTATCCTGCATGTTAGCTGTAGGCTGCCACTGAGTTGGGAGCATTTTACCAAACATGTGGGAAACCTGAGGGGAACTCATAGTGGAAATCCAGCTGAGCTGTTTATTAAACCTCAGTTTGCACAACTGCACATGCAGATCACTATCACTACATCATATTGAAAAATGTGATTTTAAGGAAACTAAAGCACACTGATATCTTTTCTTCAAACAGATTTTTTTTTGTTTTTTTGTTGCTAATAATTAATTTTTCTTGATGTTGCCTCAGACCGACCTGCTTTGCTTGGAATTTGAATTGTTTGCTTTTATGTAAGACATCTTTTATTTCTCTTCTTCCCTACAGGTCTGCACGTTTTCCTCATCTTTTGAATTTTCATCTCATCCCTCTTGTTTCTGTTGGATTGACTGTTAAAAGGATCCAAATGGAGGCCAGAGGAAAGTACGATTTTTCCGCCACTTCGGATGACGAGCTCAGCTTTAAAAAGGGCGACATTCTCAAGGTCAGTGCATGCGATGCTGACAGAATCTGTCTCTGTGCTTATTAATCTCTGTATAAAACCTCCCCTGTCTCTGTTTCTGTTCTGGTTAGATTATAAACCATGAGGATGATTGGTGTAAGGCTGAGATGAATGGACAGGAAGGATACATACCTAAGAACTACATCGATCTGCAGACTCCAGAGTAAGAGAACGATGCCTCAGCAAAATGAAACTGCCTATGTAAATGGAATAAAAGATGCAGCGCAAAAACAGAGTTTTAGCTGAATTTCTAAATGAAATCATGTAGCTGTTATATAATACAATAAATAAGATGTGTTTTGAGCATGTGAGATAATAATGGGGAATCTCTGTTTAGTTGGTTTAAGGAGGACGCCAGTCGCAGCCATGCAGAGGATCTACTGAGGCACAAAACAGTCGGAGACTTTGTGATCCGAGGATGCCAGAGCTCCCCAGGAGACTTCTCCATCTCTGTCAAGTAGGTGAACGTGTAGAAAAGTTGAATCTAGACACAAGAACATTTTAAAATGTTTTCACATTACAAACTTCTATGTTTTTAAAATTAATTTTCAGTGAGAGGCCGACACATTCTCTCAAGATTGTAAAACTGAACCAAACGCTCAGAAGATTTGGATAAAGAAAGTTACTATTGCAAAAAAAAATAAATAAAAAAATCCTGTTATTAGTTTGCCAGGGTCAAGAAGTGCTTTTATCTAATGAGACCAGCGTTATGTGCCATCTAGAACACGGCATCTCTTCTGTGAAACATGGCGTTGGCAGCATCATGCTGTGGGGATGCTTTTCTTTACCAGAGATAGCAAAGTGGGTCAATGAATAGAGATGAATGAACGATTATTTGCCTATTCTGCAAGAAATAGGCAACTTTACAATCCATATTAAGTAGGGATGGAACGGTTTATGAAAACCGTCCGAACCGTTCAGTTCGGTTCGCGTGTGTTGCGTTCGGTTCATGCGCTGCTCCTTTTTCTCATAGGCGAAGCGTTTACACTCCAGAGCAGAAGGTGGCGCTACTGCGACCAAAGCCAACCACCAGTAGTAAACAAGAAGAAGAAGCGAAGCAGCGTAGCCGGGTGTAGCAGAAAACAATCAGTTGTTGTGGAGAATTGTGTGGGTATGGCGAGTGGGAAAGAACAGGAGTTGGAAGACGCGGCAGCAGCACTTTATAGGTCTGCTGTATGGGACCACTTTGCATTTAGAGTGACCTACGATGACGGCGGGAAGAAAGTTGTGGATAAAAGTGCAACAGTGTGCAAGCATTGTTTTCATAAACCGTTCCGTCCCTAGTTTGTACTGAAACTAAAATCTCAATTACAATGTATATTGTAGTTGATGATAAAGAAACTGATCGATTTGATTGATTGATTTGACTGATTGATTGATTCGAAGCTACCAGGAGCTATTCCGCATTAGCTACTACCAAAGCTGTAGGAAGGAGTTAAACATTGGGAACCTTACATCATGCTGCATTGCCCTTTAAAAATATATAAAGGTTTTTTGTTGCTTTTTTGTGCTGGAGGGACAAACAAATGTGCTTGTTTCAAATATTGCAGGAAACACGTTGCCCCCAACCTCACATACTGGTTCTTATGTCCATAGCTCCTCCCAGTCTGCACAAACACAAAGAGGAAATGTTGAAGCAAAGGGAAGCTTTTCTCAGACTCAGCAAAACCTGAGTAATGGCAAAGCATTCGTCATGGTCTATTGGATATTTATCTAGCATAAATGATGACTTTTCAATATTTAAAGTTTTACTTTCCTCACTGCCCTCTAGATTCAATTTTCACCTGATCAAGAGCCGTGCAGCGTAAAATCTACAGTAGATGTTAAACCACAGGAAACAAACAGGCAGAGTTCTGTGAATTTTAAATCAAAGAAATATGAAATAAAGACTTCTATCAGTACAGAAAGCAGTTAACAGAAATTATTATATTGTCCCATGGTTGCAGGTATATCCCTGTCAAACCCAAATAAGATATATATATATATATATATATATATAAATATATATATATATATATATATATATATATATATATATATATATATATATATATATATATATATATATATATATATATATATATATACCTGTTTTAAATTCCTCAGATGGAGCTGTAAAAATCTCTCTAAAAAAGGAATATGTGGGACTTTGAACCAACTTTGCTAGTTTATTTGTTATATTTAATGCTCTGAACTTCCATATCAATGTTTTTTTTTTCCATACCTGTTTACATTTTTTGATTTATTGACTTTATTGATCTCACAGGGGAGACATTTTGATCACTGCTGCACTTTAAAAAATGGAAATGTAATGAAAGCTGAACAAAATGAAATGTTTTGCATACACTGTGTATTCAAAATGACAATAAAAGTTGTCAAAGTCATTGCACAGCAACAACAGTGTGCAGAAAACCAGTTGATGTGTTTAATGCTTTCAGTACTGATAGCAGGTTTCTTGGATTTAAATTTCACAGAACGGTGCCTGTTTGTTTCCTGTGGTTTAACATCTAGATACTAATGCAGAGCTGTTCGCTTTTGATCAGATGAAAACTGAATCTACAGGGCAGAAGGGGAAGTAAACCTTTAAATCTTGTACATTCAAATTTTACTTCAGAGAAATATCCCACAGACCGTGGCAAACGTTTTGGCTCAGAATGGCTTATCTCTGCTCCAGCATTTAGTTAACGCTAAACTAGCTTCTAGTTGAGAAATTGCACTTTTTCTGCTTTGAGTCAGAAACTTGAATGAAAGCAGGTTAATTACTTGAACCCTTTGAATTTCATAAAGATCATTGACTTAATGCGGTGGTTTCCTTTCTTGTTAAATGTCTGTACAGCTGTCAGCTTGTAGACCAGTTACACCACAAATCAGATTACAAGAAAAGATGATTAAAAAAGAATGTTTTTGCGACTCGATGGCTTATTTTCAACATGCTGTGGCATCCAATGTTGTTTTTAATGCAGAAAATCTAATTCTTACTTTAAAGTTCTATTTTTGTCTGAAAATGATTAAATATTTCTATAAGACAAATCAACTTAAAGCAACGGTAGCCCTTTTTAGTACCATTAATGGGACGTTTCATCCCTTATATGTTGTAATAGGAGGCATGCTGGAACGAATGCCTGGTTCAGAAACAGTCATTTTTAGTTGGAAGATTGCAGAATACGGTTGCAGAGAAACTACATGGGAAGATTTTTGAATCTCTTGGTAAACCTGGGGTGGAGCAATCTTCCTGTGATGAAAAAAAAAAGATTGACCTTTCCAATCTGACACAAAACTAGACTGTAATTTATCTGAGTTAATTTAATATAGTTTTTTAGTTTGCTTGGAGTGTTTTGATGTTTGCTTTTGCATGCTGATTGGTCTTTTGTATGTTTTTACAGTTCAGAAACTTATTATTTTCACAAAAGTATGTTTGTTTGTTAAAGCAATCATGCATAACTGGTGCCCCAAGTTTCAGCTTAATTTAGATAAATTACAGTCATTTTTTAGGTCAATATTCAGCACTTTACAAGTGTGTATTGAAGCTCCCTATGGGTTCCTCTTCTCAGAAACTTGCCTATTTATCTTTAAAGGTTCAGATTCATTGCTGTATTAAATCAGGAATTTGAGCTAAAGGCATCAAACCCAATATGACCGTTACCTGATCAGATACTGTATGTTTTTAGTTCTCTAAAGTAGGATTTCATCTAGAGGGTGAATGTTTCTTTAGGGTTCTGCTATCAGATTCCAAACCATAGAGAAAGACTGTTTAATTTTTCATCCTTCAGGGACCTTCAGGTGGACTAAATCTGGAAGTTACAGGTCTAGAGTCATACTACTTTAAAGGTGCATAGTCACATTATTTGACTTTTTTATGCCAATTATCCTGCCTGGGTACACATATAAAGTTTTTTCTGAAAGATAACTAAGTCACTTTATTTTTTTATTTTACACGTTTTAAATCCCTTTGTGTATATTTACAATAATAACATTGGTATGATACTATATACACTCACCGGCCTCTTTATTAGGTACCCCATGCTAGTAACGGGTTGGACCCCCTTTTGCCTTCAGAACTGCCTCAATTCTTGGTGGCATAGATTCAACAAGGTGCTGGAAGCATTCCTCAGGGAGTTTGGTCCATATTGACATGATGACATCACACAGTTGCTGCAGATTTGTCGGCTGCACATCCATGATGCGAATCTCCCGTTCCACCACATCCCAAAGATGCTCTATTGGATTGAGATCTGGTGACTGTGGAGGCCATTTGAGTACAGTGAACTCATTGTCATGTTCAAGAAACCAGTCTGAGATGATTCCAGCTTTATGACATGGCGCATTATCCTGCTGAAAGTAGCCATCAGAAGTTGGGTACATTGTGGTCATAAAGGGATGGACATGGTCAGCAACAATACTCAGGTAGGCTGTGGCGTTGCAACGATGCTCAATTGGTACCAAGGGGCCCAAAGAGTGCCAAGAAAATATTCCCCACACCATGACACCACCACCACCAGCCTGAACCGATGATACAAGGCAGGATGGATCCATGCTTTCATGTTGTAGACGCCAAATTCTGACCCTACCATCCGAATGTCGCAGCAGAAATCGAGACTCATCAGACCAGGCAACGTTTTTCCAATCTTCTATTGTCCAATTTCCATGAGCTTGTGCAAATTGTAGCCTCAGTTTCCTGTTCTTAGCTGAAAGGAGTGGCACCCGGTGTGGTCTTCTGCTGCTGTAGCCCATCTGCCTCAAAGTTCCACGTACTGTGCGTTCAGAGATGCTCTTCTGCCCACCTTGGTTGTAACGGGTGGTTATTTGAGTCACTGTTGCCCTTCTATCAGCTCCAACCAGTCTGGCCATTCTCCTCTGACCTCTGGCATCAACAAGGCATTTTCGCCCACAGAACTGCCGCTCACTGGATGTTTTTTCTTTTTCGGACCATTCTCTGTAAACCCTAGAGATGGTTGTGCGTGAAAATCCCAGTAGATCAGCAGTTTCTGAAATACTCAGACCAGCCCTTCTGGCACCAACAATCATGCCACGTTCAAAGTCACTCAAATCACCTTTCTTCCCCATACTGATGCTCGGTTTGAACTGCCGGAGATTGTCTTGACCATGTCTACACGCCTAAATGCACTGAGTTGCCGCCATGTGATTGGCTGCTTAGAAATTAAGTGTTAACGAGCAGTTGGACAGGTGTACCTAATAAAGTGGCCGGTGAGGGTATATCTACGTAGGAGGTAAAAAAGGAGGTAGCCTACTATGGCTCAGCCAGTTGGTGCCGTCCAGGGAAGCGCAAATATTATGAAGACAAGTCCAAGACAAAGTCAGAAAAAAATGAATCCATATTTAATTCCAAGAGAGATAAGAATACAACAGCTGTCAGAGTAAAGTTTGAAAGTTGGTTTTTAATGAGGCAGAAGCTAAAGCTATCGCAGGCGTTCATAGATGGCTGCTAAGGTAATGGAT